GAGAAGAGAGAGAGGAGAGAGAGAGAGAGAGAGAGAGGGAGAGAGAGAGAGAGAGAGAGAGAGAGAGAGAGAGGGGGGGGGGGCAGAGAGAGAGAAGGCACAGAGAGAGAGAGTGAGAGAGAGAGAGAGTGCGTGAGAGTGCGTGAGAGAGAGAGAGAGAGAGAGAGAGAGAGAGAGAGTGAGAGAGAGAGAGTGAGAGAGAGAGAGTGAGAGAGAGAGAGAGAGAGTGAGAGAGGGAGTGAGAGAGAGAGGGAGTGAGAGAGAGAGTGAGAGAGAGAGAGAGAGAGAGAGAGAGAGAGAGAGTGAGAGAGAGAGGGAGAGTGAGAGAGAGAGAGAGAGAGAGAGAGATACATATATATATATATATATATATATATATATATATATATATATATATATATATATATATATATATATTTATTATTGGTAGTGTAGCATGGACGGAGGTGCAGAAGTAGCCCTGGGCAGCGAGTAGGCCTGGTGAGGTGGTGGCCCTGGAGGATGGCCCCCAGGAGCATGCGTCCGAGCGGGATGTGTGACTTGAGGATGAGTAATTGTATGGGTAATAATTAGAGGTCATGCGAGATGTGGGCATGGCTTATGTCAGTACAGCAGTGATGCCGCCCTATTGCTCACCCCTGTTAGTTGGAGGGCGTGACAATGAAGGCTTTTGACCACTCAGAGAGAGATACAGAGGAGATAAAGAGAGAGAGAGAGAGGGTTTTATATATATATACATATATATATATATATATATATATATATATATATATATATATACATATATATATATATATATATATATATATATATATATATATATATATATATATAGATAGAGATATAGATATATATATAGAGAGAGAGAGAGAGAGAGAAGAGAGGCTATGATGATCTGCTAAAGCCTGTCAAACATGAGTATGTCAATAAATATACTAATTCTTCATTTGTGTATTTATTTTGTATCATATCTTTAATAAAATGTTATTTAATATCACCGACAATAATGCATTGTCTAGCTTTCCTTAGTGCCAAGATATTTTGATTTGACACTATAAACTCCTGGGATGCTAGGGAGGCCCCTCTTTTACCTTCTTCCCAGTGCCTGATACTAAAACAGAATCTCTTACCATAAAAGCCAAGTGCTAACTAAGCTCTGATGGGTTTAAGATCTGCTGATACTACCCTAAACTTGTCCAATACCATTTTATGTCATACAGGGCAGTGCTCCCAGCTTCAAAAACCAGGAATTGTGTAAAAAGAGGTAATGAACTGTGTTGTAACCTTGTTAGTGCCATGAAGTCTCATCTACCACTCATGCAAAAATTGGATTTTTTGAATCTGAAATAAATGCTCAAAATACTCAGCCCAACGCACACACACCCCATCAGGATCTGAGATTACCTGGCCACTTGCTGAGCGGACTGCCGTCGTCTGTGAGGAGGGCTTGGAGTTCACCTTTCTCAGAGCTTGGTAGGCAGGACGAAGGTCATTTACTAAGAAATGGCTTTCGACCTCCTCTGCAAGATTACTGATAAACTGTTCCTTATCCCTTCTCAACAGTGACCTAGTCCTGCGCGCCAGAGAACGGTGCAAATTGCGATCCCTGACAATCGAGACGCATGGCAAGCTTCTGTGGCTTCCAGTGTCTCCTGCGAGATGGAATTCTGTCTTGCTCTTGGGCGAACACCAATGGATTCCTGAGCTGCATCAAGCGTTTCACGCTTGAAGGAATCCCAAATAACAACAGGGTCTGTCAGGCCCTCGAGTGCTGTGAGACGACCAGAGATAGCCTCAGCAAACCCCCGGGCACACTCATCCTCCCTCAGTCTGTCCAGATGAAACACCCTGGGGTGCTCATTTGGTCGACGGGGGGTTCTAAAGTGGACCCGGAGAGTAGCCACAACTAGTCTATGATCAGTTCCACAGAACTCGGCGCTTCGATACACCCTGCAGTTCTGGAGGATCCTCCACCGAGTGCTGACAAGGATGTGGTCGATCTCCTTGGCCACCCTACCCGTATCACTGTACCAAGTCCAGCGATGCGGGTCAGAACGCTGATAGCAGGAGCCAGAGATCCTCAATTTCTGGGACCTAGCAAAGTCACGGAAAAGGAGGCTATTCTCGCTGCCAGTATCAGCTCCTGAGCCATGGGGACCGACAGACATCTCGTAGCCAGCTCGATCACATCCGGATACCGCATTGAAGTCGCCCAGAACAATACGAATATCTCGCCGAGGACAACTGTCTGCCACAGATGCAAGTTTGGTGTAGAACATCTCTTTCACCTCAAGTTTATATACATCCGTAGGAGCATACACAGCAATAAGAGACATGAAGCCAAATGACAGCTTCAGTCTCAATACCATTATACGCTCATCGACTGGAGTGACCTCTACTACCGAAGGTTGAAAACGGCTGGAGATGGCTATGGCTACTCCCTGGAGATGGTGGCCATCGCTGCGGCCCGACCAGTAGTAAGTGTAGCCACCCACACTAATCGTGCCGCTGCCAGGTCTTCTCACCTCCGAGAGAGCAGCCACCTCAACTCTCAGCCGCTTCAATTCCCTCGACAGTAATGGTAACCGATCATCCTGTCGCAGGGAACGGACGTTCCAAGCCCCCACCCTGACAGCCCGCCTGAGGTCTAACCTCTGGCAGTGCTCCCAGTGCGTTGGGCTGAGTATTTTGAGCAGCTGTATCAGGTTGATCCACCAACAGTTAACTTGGATGCTGGTAATGTTGAGACTCCTCTGCCAGACCCACCCATCAGCGAGGATCCACCCACCCTGACTGAAGTCAAGGGGGCGATCTCCAAGCTGAAGAGTGGTAAAGCAGCAGGTGTCTGTGGCATCCCAGCTGAATTGTTAAAGGCTGGTGGAGAACCTATGGCAAGGGGCTTGCATGCAGTCCTGTCTGCCATCTGGCAGACCGGTACCATTCCCCCCGACCTGCTGAGGGGTGTGGTCATCCCTCTCTGGAAGGGGAAAGCTGATCGATGGGACTGCAGCAATCACCGTAGCATTACACTGCTCAGTGTACCAGGCAAGGTACTCGCCCACATCTTACTGAGACGTATCAGAGACCACCTCCTGAGGCACCAAAGACCGGAGCAATCTGGGTTCACTCCTGGTAAGTCCACAATAGATCGTATCCTGGCGCTTCGAGTCATTGTAGAGTGCCGTCGTGAGTTCGGACGTGGGCTGCTCGCAGCCTACATCGACCTCAAGAAGGCGTTTGATACGGTTCATCGCGAATCACTCTGGGAGATCCTGAGACTGAGAGGAATTCCACCAAGGATTGTTGGGCTAATAGCAAACCTGTATACAGGCACTGAAAGTGCTGTAAAGTGTGGTGGGGGCCTGTCGAGCTTCTTTCCTGTTAGTTCAGGCGTGAGGCAAGGCTGTGTTCTTGCACCAACACTTTTCAACACTTGCATGGATTGGATACTGGGTAGAGCTACTGTCCAAAGTCACTGTGGAACAACTCTGGGCAATATCAAGGTTACTGACCTTGACTTTGCTGATGATGTTGCCATTCTTTCTGAATCTCTGGAAACCCTAGTGGCGGCTCTTGATGCATTTAGCAATGAAGCGAAGCCCCTGGGGCTAGAGGTCTCCTGGACCAAGACCAAGATCCAGGATTTTGGGGGCCTACTAGGAGACCCTGTGCAGTCGGTACGTGCTTGCGGTGAAAACATCGAAGTCACAAGGAGTTTTATATACCTCGGTAGTGCAGTTCATGACTCTGGGCTGTCAGACCAGGAAGTCAGTAGACGGATTGGCCTGGCAGCAGGGGTCATGAAATCTCTCGACAAGAGTATTTGGAGATGCCGGTACCTGTGCAGAAGGACCAAGCTACGAGTTTTCAAGGCCCTGATACTGCCAGTTTTACTATATGGTAGTGAAACTTGGACACTATCTTGTGCTTTGGAATCTGTCTTGATGCCTTTTGTAACAGATCCTTGCGCCGGATCATGGGGTACAGTTGGCGGGACCATGTGTCCAACCAACAGCTACACCGCGAGACCGGTACAGGACCTGTTACTTGCACAATCCGTGATCGCCAACTCAGGCTATATGGCCACTTGGCTCGATTCCCGCAGGATGATCCTGCCCATCAGGTTGTCTCTGTTCGGGACAACCCTGGGTGGAGGAGGCCTGTGGGACGACCGAGAAGGTCGTGGCTTGGGCAGATCGATCAAACCTGTCGTGAGGAACTAGAGATGGGCCGGGCCCCTGCCTGGCGGCTTGCCATGAGAGACCCTCGCAGGTGGAAGCGAAGGGTGGACGCGGCTATGCGCCCCTACTGGCGTTAGCCCCCCAATGATGATGATGATGATGAAATAAATGCCAGAATTATTTTTCACAATTTATAGATATGGCATTGGGAATTGCTGTTATTGAAGCAATTGAATGATGGGGTGAGAGGCAAGAGACTAATTGGTTCATTACCACGTTTAAATGGTTGGCTGTTAATCGGATAAAGGTGTGAGGGTAGCCCTTTACTAGAGGGAGTGATTGTTCCCTTAATAAAGTAGAAGGGAATGATCTATGGAAGAGCAATTTTCAGAAGTAAATTGTATTAAATAGTTTCTGTATCAGTATTTTTTGTTAGTGTTCCTCTATAAGAATAGATTGAAATGTTGATGGCATATTTGCCAAAGCTGACTTGCCTGACTCCTTATCTGTGTGATTATTTTGTTTCAGGTCCATAAAAGACAATATAGTTTGGTCATTTCCATGAAACATTGATTTAATTCTTTAACAGTTATGGATAACCTTTGATGTAACTATTTTAGACAAATAATCATTGAAAATGTAATTTCAGTAATGTTTTGTAGGCTCATATGCACAAATTAGTCATACTATAACGATGTATTTATATATATATATGTGCACTTATTTGGAATGTGGACATTTGAGAAGATAAGACTAAAGAGAATATACATACAGCACATACTTTATTCAATATGAGAACATCACCAATTAATATTCTTCAAAATTAACATTATTTCTTTGTTTTACATCCTTACAGATAATAAGTACAAAATTTATATTTCCTATGAACTATTAATTTTGGCAGTTTTTAGATATTGGTGTTAAATGAAAACAGGTAAAAAGATATTTTGCAAAATTAATTTAGAGAATTAACATCACAAATGGCTTGAAACAGAGAAAATATCATCAACATACAGAGAGGTGTAAAGAAAATTCTAATGTGCATATACATAATAGAAATCTAAGTATTCTGAATGGCAAAAAACAATTAATGGTCTTTCTCTGTATGTTCTCTATACATTATAGGTTGAAAATGATGGAGAAAAATAATGTTATCATAAATGTCTAGTGAATGTTATCACATGATTCTTGGTATATTTATGAATGAATGGTGGAGAACATATTTCACCATTAGGTAATAAGGTAAGGAATAATTTACTTTTGAGAATAAAGAAATAATCTTTTTTAGATACTTTCATAAAGTTAGTACTGTCATAGTAACAAAAAAAAAAAAGAAAGAAAGTGTATAGGTTACTTGTATAATATTTCTTTTGATATCTTAGGTTTCAATCCAGTTCATTGGTTAACATATATTCAACAGTACATGTGAATTAAAGTTTGATGAAAATTATTTCATCCTTTTTGGAAAAGTACTTAATTTTCTAAAAAGACAAAAAGATTGCTTTTATATAACACGTTAACTGATAATAATTACTGTCAAATTTACTCATTAAAGATAGGTGTTATATTTCAGGAAGGTTTGAGTCTTAATGGGATATTGTGTTCAAGGTTTCTAAAAAAAAATTATCATTCATATATATTTTAGCATTTCAAAATTTAATGAGAGGCTAAGAAGTCATTAAACAAAGATTTGGGAATGTGATGAAACATTTATTTCAATATCTGCAGATAATTTATCATATGTACATCCATACCTCATCTTCACTCTCACTATAACCAGTGCACACTACAATTGCTACACTTCTGAATTGTTCTCACACCTGCTGTATTATTCACTGCAAGTATTAATGTAAGATCTCTTAGGTATGATGCTTTAACACATGTCTCTTCATGTTCCCTTTCTGTGCTGACCTATAGGAACAGTAGGCACAACCGAATGGCTTCTCACCAGTGTGTGTCCGTATGTGAGCCCTGATGCTCTCCACCTGAAAGCATTGAAAAGGACAGTGCGGACATGGGAATAACTCTCTGACTGCGTGGCTCCGCAGGTGCTCCGAGAGTTGCGTGGCAATGGTTGTGGTGAAGGGGCAGTAGGGGCAGGATCGGATCTTGGGAGTAGCAGAGGAGAAATTCTTGCAGCCTGTAGCTCCTATTGCCTCGGCAATCCCTATGGTCTTTGTTGGTCTGCCCTCGGAGGTGCCAAGGATGTTGTGGTCCACTGACACCTGTGGGGGACGCCCAACGTACTTTCAGAATGCTGTGTTTATTAAACAGGGACAAATTAGATTTTAGTGATACTTTAGTACTGGAATGAGTTGTCCTTATGAATTATAGTTGTTGCATATTTCACAAGATTCAGACCACTGTTAATGAATACAAATCTTTTTGAGGAAAAGTCAGGAAAGCAGAGGCAAGAAAGGAAAGAATAATGTGAGAAACAGAGCAGTCAAATAAGGAAAAGGAGAGAAGAGAAAAGAATAGGAGTATCAGAAAGAGGAATTTTTACGGCTTATACTCTAATATTTAGTACTGGAGTTAACTGTTGAATAGTTCTCTATTTTCTAAATTCACATATCAGTTCATATCATGCAGCTAATGACAGACATATTATTGATATAGAAGTTAAAGAGGAAAATGAAATGGAAGTAGTAATGATGAAAAGCAAAAGCAAAAAGAGAAAATAAACTGTATGCTTTAAGAACTTTTCCTCATGCCAAGTAAATAAATCACTGATTGAAAATTAATTTGGTTTACTTGCTTTGTGTTGATATATTCAATATAAACAGTTTAAGATATGGTACTTTGGCAGATTCCAAGTACTGATTCCAAGAATATAATAGTTTCATGAAAAAAACAACAACTTTATTTTGTAATGAATTCAAAAGCAATAAAGTTTAATTCATGTAAATATTGGTTATGGTAAAAGATTTTTTTGGTGTTAAATAAACTTACGCTATTATATTATCATGAGATACTATTGATCAATAAAAGTGCACATTTTAAATATGTATGTGCAAAAGAATTACACAAACTACATGAAATAATCTTAGTAATAATATTTGATGATAATATTTAACTTATAAAGTAAATTACAGGAACCATGTATAGAAAATATTAAAATACTAACTCATTAAATTAGAAAAAAATATTTCCCATTGTCATTTTCAGATGTTGTTGTTCAAAAATATACAACCACATATTTGTGGTTTACAATAAATTACAGCAGAAACATTCTAAGAAAAGCTCTTTTAATAGTGAGTGAAATGAAGTCACTTCTAATGCACCCAGTATTTTCATAACTTCCATAAAAGGTAAGAAAATGACTGCCTGTAAACATCCAATTATTACTTTTATTTTAAGACTCTCCTGTATCTAGGTTGGTCTATGTAAAATAGTAAATGCACACCAGTTAATGCCATTCAATTTCACCTTTACTTTTTAAAACTCAACTTTCATCTTTTTCACAAACTGCACTTCTCTCAACTTCAGTCTACACCATGGCCTGCGAACAGATGGGTATGTGGAGTATATATTATCTTAATTACCTTAGTTGTGATGTGTATACACATGTCTCTTGAGGCTACTTTGTTGCCTTGATCTGTATGAGCAGAGAGAGCAGGCATAGGGCTTCTCTCCAGTATGCGTTCGCACATGTCGCTTTAGATTGTCTTCTTGAGTAGCTCGAAATGGGCAGTGAGGACAGGCAAAGGGCTTTTCACCTGTATGGGTATGGATGTGTCTTATAAGGTTTGTAGTCTTAATGGTGGAGTAGCCGCAGTAGGGGCAATGGTGAATCTTCGTGTTGAGTTGAAGCTTCCCACTGTAGACGCTACTTCCTTCCTTAGCTCTCTCCAGATCCACCTGTTGGCAACATCTTTCTGTCTCACTAGTGCTCATTCATACAATAATCAAATTTTATCATTACTAACATGTTTACAAATATAAAGGCTTTACTCTGATAGGCTACTGAAAAATAGTAAACTTAAATTAAAGGGATACAGAAACCTAAACATGTTCCTCACACTAGAGATAAAATAACCTCTAAAATATATTATGTTCCTTTTATATATATATATATATAAAAAACAAAAAAAATCAATCAGTATACGCAGGATTGAAATTCCATATATGTACAAAGTTCAACCCTAAACTTGTAAGACATCTTTACAGAACATAATTATAGATAAGACTATGTGATGAGATGGGTTTCCCTTGAATGTGACTATTACTTATGAAGTATATGTGTGTATATATTTTCATAACTTGGAATGAAAAATCAATATTTTTCCTGTAATCTCTACTTTATCTTCAAATGTCTTTATATATTGAAAAAGAATATAATGATACATTATATCTGTAATGTTTAGAAATTATATAATATTTGTGGTAGAGTTTTAGTTATTTTTACCCATTTTTAGGCACAGGGGAGATTAAATTCTGTGGCAGAAATGAAACCACACACTATATTTTCAAATCTGTCTCTATTATTTCCTTGTCAGTAATAGCTTTTTGGCTAAACTGTTTGTTAAAGGACTGGTTATCAGTGAAGAGGGAAGGAGAAATATTTTCATTTCTAACATAATAAGCAGCCTTTTAAAAGTACTGGCTGAAGTTTGCAATAAGCTTTGTTGTTATGTATGTTCATACTTTACATATAAATGAATGGATAAGGATACAAATAGAGTAGATCTCAATGAATAAATAACTTTATTTCAGTATTTTCTATTACATGCTTCATGGTCTAAAAGTATAAAATACAGTAAAGTCATATATATTGATACAATCACATACCATAATCTCCTAAAACTCTTACTGACTCCTGTCAATTTATTATACACATACATTTTAATAGCTAATTACAGTTAGCATGACAAGGAATATAGCACACTCCTTTTAGTCAAGCTTAATGGAAAATTAGAAATATTCAACACGTATAAAACTGAGGTAAACATTTAAAAATGATCATATGCCAGTACTATCTCTGAAGTAAACCTATGGTTATAATCTGCTATCAAAATAATTTTTGTATTAAAATAATTACCATATTCAGGTTTAGATTCAGGAAATATGGCTGTATACACTGTGCATACAGCTTTACTTTAGAAATAATAGGAAGGAAGAGAATGTTACATAGTGTGTGATTATGATATCATCTGAGGATGTCCCATATTTCTGATAGATAATGACATACTAAAGTAATTAAGTACAATATGTGTAGGATATAAATTGTTCTAAATTTCTCTTTTGATTGATGATAGACACTAATGTGTTTCGGAGCTAAATTTCTTTGGGTGAACTGAATAGAAGTTTTGTATAGCTGGCAGTATTGGCTGTGACAATACTTACTTTTGTTAAAATACAAGGAGAGATGCTTTCATTCCCTTTGCACTTTCTGACTCACTCACGCCCTCAACTCCCTCCTTTCTTTCCTTCCTGCCTGCCTGACTGACTGACAGACTGACTGACTAACTGACTCCCTGACTCCCTGACTCAATCCCTCCCTAAATCATATGCGTGCACACACTTTCACACACACACACACACACACACACACACACACACACACACACACACACACACACACACACACACACACACACACACTCACACAAACGCACAAACACACAGACACACACACACACAGACACACACACACACACACACACACACACACACACACACACACACACACACACACACACACACACACACACACACACACTCACTCACTCACTCATACTCATTCACACTCACACACATTCACACAGGTAAATATTCAAACAAAAAATAAATAAACATAGAAAATAATAATGATAATGATAACAATGATGATAATAATAATCATAATAATAACAATAACAATAATAATCATAATAAGGAAAATAACAGTGATAATGATAATAATAATAATAATGATAATATTAACAATAATAATAGCAACAATAAAAAAAAAATAATAGTAACAATAGTAACAATAATAATAATAATAATAATCACAGAGGTAGTAGTAGTAATGATACTAATGATATTAGTGAAAATGATAAAGTAATGACAATGACAATGATAGTGATGATGATGATAATCTTTTTTACTACCAATTACTAACCAAATACAAAGCTTTGCTGTATATTAATATGTTCAAATACAGTTATAGCACTAACATTCCAAAACTATTTTTCACCTCAAAGGTCATATAGTTTCAAAATAATTTCCCGAGTTCTTGATCTACCTAACAAAAAAACATTTTCTTCATCTACTTGGCTTCACTTGTCACTTTCCATTTGTCCCATTCGTTTATGTCTTTCTAAGTGAATTTTCAAATTACCTTTTAGATTACAGCGATAAGGGCAAAGGCTACAGGCAAATGGCTTTTCACCTGTATGGATCTGCAAATGCCTGTTCATAATGGATTTTTGTGTAGTCTTATATGAACAGTAAGAGCACTCGTAGGGTGACTTAGAATGGCTGCGAATGTGAATCTTGAGGTGACCTGAAGAGGTCGTTGAGAAAGAGCAGTGCGGACACTCAAAATGCATTCCTTGTAGATGCACAGGCATTTGGAGATTCTGGGTATTTTCTGCATGGAAACTGAAGGATCTGCGTGGTTGCCTGGTGGTAATACTGGAGTTCAAGTTCGTGACCAACACTGCCGGTCCTCTTCTTGCCACTGTCTGAGGGTCTCGGCCTGGAAGCACCTGTTAATGATCCTTAGCTTATTCATATTGTCAGAGAAGATAGAAGAATTTTCAATATGGATGTTTTGATTACATTAATCCACTGCCATGTTTTAGCATCATTATTTGGATTTTTAACTTTCTTACTTTTCTTAATGGAAGAGCAGGAATGTAATTTCATATAGTAAAATGTGATCTAGTAGAATAGGAAGTTAACAAGGACTGATATAAATTAATGATAATGAATATGTAGATACTACAATATATGTACACATACCTTTCCCATATTCAAAGTATTCAGTAAATGAAAACAAAAGTAAAACTGTCATATTTCTTAAACCATTGCCGTCGGGGAAAATGGATAAAAAATGGGGAAAATGCTGTACTCATTTTTTATATTTTTGTAAAATATCTCTGTCCATAGATGGTTCTGCTAGTCCTGATTTCACCTTTCCTTGAATTGGCGGGAAAAAATGTATTCTTACTAGTACTATGAATATAGATAGTGTTATTTTTAACAGCAAATAAGGATAACGTTAAATATTTTCATAAATTGATGAAAAGGGTGAACGGGAGAGACAGGCAGTACTCACAATTGGCTCACTGGTGACTAAGTTCAAGTGTAGCCTTCTATGTGTAAAAACAATCAAACAAGTCGACTCACAGTGGGCATGGCATGTATGTACATGCCATCCCCATCAGCAAGGGATTAATATTCATCATATATATATATATATATATATATATATATATATATATATATATATATATATATATATATATATATATGTATGTATGTATATATATATACAAATAAATATATATATAGAATTATAAACATATATACACACATTTACATATATATGTATATACATGTATATATGTATATATATAGATATTTATGAATCTATATATATATACAAACATACATATATACATACATATATGTATATATATGTACATATATGCTTATATATATATATATATGTATATATATGTATATATTTGTATGCGTTTATATATATATATATATATATATATATATATATATATATATATATATATGTATTTACATATATATGTATATGTATATGTACATATACATATTTTATATATATATCTGTGTGTGTGTGTGTGTGTGTGTGTGTGTGTGTGTGTGTGTGTGTGTGTGTGTGTGTGTGTGTGTGTGTGTGTGTGTGTGTGTGTTACAGCAACAGAATAATAATGATGATATTAGTAATCATACTATGCACTCCAAAACTTTTTCTACCAATATTCATGACTACTAAAGAAACCTGGGTTATTTTTTTTCTTTTATTATTAGCTGCCTCTGTTAATGAAATAAAAGAGAAGTACATAAATCATATTGTATATAATTCTCTATTCTGAACAAAGAAAAAGTGTGACAATGCTTTTCCTATTTCTATTACAATTTACAACATATGATTTCCTTTGCCAAATTCTTTTACAAATTAACTAAATCAAAATAAGAATGGAACAGACGATTAAAAAAATGGTGTGGCTTAATTTAGTTACACAGCTTTATGTTTTCAGGGTAAATTTCATCAAATAGCCTTTTGAATTTCAAACATAAGGAACATAATATTTCTTCAATATTAAGTTGTATACATAATGATCAAAATATTGGCTTATATTCTTTCATCTCTATTTTCTGAAGTTAGCTGGTATATTTGGCCTCATTCCTTATCTTACATCAGTCAGTGCAAAAACACCCCCCTTCCCCAAAATCATGATTGCGACATTCTGATGAAATAGACCTTTTTATACAAAATATATAACATAAAGGGAAACAAAATGAAAATGCTTAGAAATATAAATCTAATACCTGTATGGTTTAGTGGGATCAGTAATGTAACTTAAGTTAAATAACATTGTTTTCCTTTTTTAAAGTATTAACTTTGTTACAAAATATTATATTTCACAACAAAGAAATAAACATACAAATAAATTTTTAATCTAAATATCTGCTTTAGTTAATGTTTTGACATAAAATGATTGATCCTTTTATCATTCAATAAGACTTTTGAAGTAACACATGTACGCTCCCAAACTTCAACTTTTTCACATAATATTTTCCACATCACTCTGAGATCTATGCGTTAGCAAATGACTCTTCAGATTATTTTTCTGGGAAGACCTATATGGACAAATATTACAAGCATAGGGTTTTTCTCCTGTATGAATGCGCAGATGCCTATTCAGGTTATTTTTCTGGGCAGCTCTGAAACTGCAGTGAGGGCATGGGAAAGGCTTCTCTCCTGTGTGTGTGCGTATATGAATCTTCAAGTAGTCCCTTGTGGCAGAACTGTAGGAACAATGTGGACAGTCAAAAGGCTTGTCTCCCGGATGAACCTGCACCAGAAAGGGCTGCGTGCCTTTGGCATGAGAACCATAGGAATTCTGGGGTAGTCTGAGGTTGCCATCCTGTACCCCCACACAGGGTCCTCCCTCTCCTGCTATATGGGGACCACAACCCGGAAGCACCTGTTGAGGATGCCTAGCTTATTCACGGTAATAAAGGAATCAGAATAATTAAATTCTTGCTGTTATCCATCATTTTTAGAATAGCTTTTGGAGTAAACATATAATTATAATTATCATGTACAAACAAAACTGTAAGCAAACAGAAGTACTTTTAAGCTACACAAACTTAAAATAAAATGGTTATGAAAGTGTATATGTTATTTTCTAGATAAACTTATTGTAACTTCAACCTGATGCCAGAAAGGATGGCTTGTATATACATGCCATGCCCATTGAGAGTTTAGTTTATTGATTGTCTTTACACATAGATGGCTCCACAAGTACTAAGTCACCTATGAGCCAGCTATGAGTGCTACCTATCTTACCTGTTAACCTTCACCTTCATATTTGGAAATATTTTCTAGTATGTTGTATTGCTGTTAGTAATATTAATAACATTATAATAATTATAATGTCTATAAGAATATTAACCCATTGCCGCCAGGGAAAATTAACAAAATATGGGGGAAATGCAGTACTCATTTTTTATATTTTTGTGAAATATCTCTGTCTATAGATGGCTCTGCTAGTCCTGATTTCACTTTTCCTTGAATTGGCGGGAAAAAACATATTTTTACTAGTGCTATAAATATTGATTTTGTTATTTTGAACAGCAAATTAGGAAAATGTTAGATATTTTCGTAAATCGATGAAAAGGGTGAACGGGCGAGACAGGCAGTACTGTAATTGGCTCATTGGATACTTAGTACAAGTGTAGCCATCTATGCGTAAAAACAATCGAACAATTTGACTCACAGTGGGCATAGCATGTACGTACATGCCATCCCCGGAGGCAATGGGTTAGCAGCATTAAAAAAAGGTTTCCCCACAGCCTCAAGGAAAGGTAAAATCAGGTGAGGTCAACAAGGTATACTAATTGACTCGTTTGTGGCTAAGCACTTGTGGAGCCATCTATGTGCAGAGACATATCACAAAATACTACAGTGAGCACTACATTAACCCGGCGACATTGGGCTAATAATCATAGTTTTAGGTTCACTTGTGACTAACAAGATTTGAAATGAATATAATCAAGATATTCATATGATATAATGTCCTTAATTTTTTTTTTTTTTTTTTGTATTTATAATTAACTTCTAACATCAAAATCACTCACACACACACACACACACACACACACACACACACACACACACACACACACACACACACACACACACACACACACACACACACACACACACACACACACACACACACACACACACACACACACACACACACACACACACACACACACACACACACACACACACACACACACACACACACACACACACACACACACACACACACACACACACACACACACACACACACACACACACACACACACACACACACACACACACACACACACACACACACACACACACACACACACACACACACACACACACACACACACACACACACACACACACACACACACACACACACACACACACACACACACACACACACACACACACACACACACACACACACACACACACACACACACACACACACACACACACACACACACACACACACACACACACACACACACACACACACACACACACACACACACACACACACACACACACACACACACACACACACACACACACACACACACACACACACACACACACACACACACACACACACACACACACACACACACACACACACACACACACACACACACACACACACACACACACACACACACACACACACACACACACACACACACACACACACACACACACACACACACACACACACACACACACACACACACACACACACACACACACACACACACACACACACACACACACACACACACACACACACACACACACACACACACACACACACACACACACACACACACACACACACACACACACACACACACACACACACACACACACACACACACACACACACACACACACACACACACACACACACACACACACACACACACACACACACACACACACACACACACACACACACACACACACACACACACACACACACACACACACACACACACACACACACACACACACACACACACACACACACACACACACACACACACACACACACACACACACACACACACACACACACACACACACACACACACACACACACACACACACACACACACACACACACACACACACACACACACACACACACACACACACACACACACACACACACACACACACACACACACACACACACACACACACACACACACACACACACACACACACACACACACACACACACACACACACACACACACACACACACACACACACACACACACACACACACACACACACACACACACACACACACACACACACACACACACACACACACACACACACACACACACACACACACACACACACACACACACACACACACACACACACACACACACACACACACACACACACACACACACACACACACACACACACACACACACACACACACACACACACACACACACACACACACACACACACACACACACACACACACACACACACACACACACACACACACACACACACACACACACACACACACACACACACACACACACACACACACACACACACACACACACACACACACACACACACACACACACACACACACACACACACACACACACACACACACACACACACACACACACACACACACACACACACACACACACACACACACACACACACACACACACACACACACACTTAATTTTTCATATTTACTTTAGATCAAGTTAATAAATGAGCAAGTGATTGTGCGTGTGCGTTTTGCCTTTATGAATGGATGTATTATTTGCAGCTCTAAGATAGCACAATCATTATTGATAACAGATTAGACTATTTCTTTTCATTCCTCAATTTCATTTCTTCTATTACTTACATATTATTCATTGTATAAATAAAAGGTCTGGAAAAAAAACAAGTTTAAATTTTTTGTTTTAATGATATACTACAATGCTACCTTATCAGATCAAATTACACACAAATTGTACTAAAATACCCTAAAATGTATTCAACCTTTTCCCTTTAACAAAAGTACCTTATATCATATCAAAAGAAATTATTACATCAAAACATTCTTGACACAACATTTAGGTTACAGGTACAGCTGGACCTAAAGTACTGAAATCAGAGTTTCCTGAGAAGTCATAATTACACAATTGCATACAGTCCATACAAACATGCAATATGTACATACATATACATATATATAATATATATATATATATATATATATATATATATATATATATATATATATATATATATATGTGAATGAACACATACACAAATACAGAAGAAGGTAAAAAGTACAATGCATCTGAATTTGAGAGCACAAACAATCACTTTAATTTTTCATATTTACTTTAGATCAAGTTAATAAATGAGCAAGTGATTGTGCGTGTGCGTTTTGCCTTTATGAATGGATGTATTATTTGCAGCTCTAAGATAGCACAATCATTATTGATATCAGATTAGACTATTTCTTCTCATTCCTCAATTTCATTTCTTCTATTACTTACATATTATTCATTGTATAAATAAAAGGTCTGGAAAAAAAACAAGTTTAAATTTTTTGTTTTAATGATATACTACAATGCTACCTTATCAGATCAAATTACACACAAATTGTACTAAAATACCCTAAAATGTATTCAACCTTTTCCCTTTAACAAAAGTACCTTATATCATATCAAAAGAAATTATTACATCAAAACATTCTTGACACAACATTTAGGTTACAGGTACAGCTGGACCTAAAGTACTGAAATCAGAGTTTCCTGAGAAGTCATAATTACACAATTGCATACAGTCCATACAAACAGACACAACCATTGGCATACACTACACCATACCATACTATACTATACCATAAAACACACACACACACACACACACACACACACACACAGAAAAGTAGTTCTTGTATGGAAAGGGGCATATTAGGTGAAGAATACTTACTTCCTCTGTACAGAAACATGAACTTAGATGTTAGCAAGAATTTTGTGAATGTGTGTGCCGAGGGATATGGTTACAGGAGAATACAGTTCCTTAGTACTGTCATAAAATGAACCACTCTTGTCTCTGCAACACATGCTCCCTACTCATACTGGCATGTGCATAGGATACATGTGTCAAAAGTGGTGATTGGCAACGTTGAGTGATGTAACTGGAAGTGA